AGTGCAGGGTTGCCTCACCCCGTTTGTAAGTAGGGATCCGATGTAAGTCGGATCCATGTAACCCGGGGACTGCCTGTATTTAGAAAGGCACGGGAATCCCTCCCTTCACATGCCAATAGCTCCCTCCACAGCCTAGTGGAACCACTCCCTAAGGGGCAGTCCCAGTCTCTTAGGGGAACAAAGCAAGGTTGCCAGGAATTTGTATCCCACCACTTGCTCCCTCCTCATCCCAGGGCAGAACAGTCCACAATCCACACACACAACTCATTCTCCCCAGCCCTTCCCCATGGGGGAGAGGGGCCACTCCGCTCCTGGCCTCACTACTGATGCCACCTGTAAGGCGGCGGCCTTTTCTGTCACCATATTGGAAGGCCTAAAGGCCAAGGCCTTCATCTGTAGCCAGACGGAAAGACCAGCAGCCATTAGCTGTAAAGCAGGCAGTCAAGACTCTTTCATTCAATCTAAATTGCATTAAAATAGTGTCATACCAGCCTGTTTAGGAGATAGTGGCACCTACTGTCACCAGATAAAGAAACAGATCTCAAGATGGTTAAAGAAAATGTAAATCAACTAAGGTGGTGGGTACGATTGATTAGGTAGTTCTGATACTGTATGTTACAACTGTAGTAAAATTTTAGTACAATAATTAAGGTACAGCAAAGCAGAATACAAGTGTCACTATAAAAACTGGGGTCTAAGAAGGAGACCAGCAGAAAGGAAAAGCAGGACCAGAAAGGAGGAGGAAAGACCTGGAGGAAGAACTCACCTCCAAGTCACAGTCTAAGACCAGAGTTGCCAAGAATCCTCTGCATGACTCTGATGTGCAGCAATCAGAATCCAGACAAGACTGACCTTGCCTGACCAACAGGGGAAGTTCACCTGCTTTGATCAGGATTGGTGAGCAGGGTCTGCGTGCTTAACATGTATATCCTGCTTGCTTGGTAAGTGTTAATAGAGAGTAAGGAAATTACAATGGAAGGCTCCCAAGAGAGGCGGGGATAGCTCAGTGGCTTGAGCATTGGCCTGCTAAACACAGGGTTGTGAGTTCAATCCTTGTGGAGGCCATTTAGGGATTTGGGGCAAAAATTTTTCCGGGGTGGTCAAGACCAATGGTCTAATAGCCCAGAATCATATTTTCCCCAGGTGGCTGGTGCCAAGTGCTTCAGAGGAAAAGAACAGAATAAGTCAATTGTCAAACAATCCATGCAGTCGAAGGCCTAGGGACACCCAGAGCATGAAGTTGTACCTTGCAAGCCAGCGATGGAGTTATCCTTCATAAATTTATCTAGCTTGTGATAGTGTTAACCTTCACAACACACCCTCAACAAGGGCTACATTGCATTGTGAGAAGTACATCCTTTTAAACATGTTTCCTGTTCATTTCTTGGATAAATAACATGTTCTTATTCATTTTATCCACATCACTCATGATATCTCCAGCGTATTTCCCTGCCCCATGTCATCTCTTTTCCAAGCTGCAAACTCCCAGGTGTTTTTAATCTCTCCTCTAATGGAAACCATTCCATACCCTTATTTGTGTTGTCCTTCTCTATACCTTTTCCATTTCTAATATATCTTTGAGGTGGGGCCTGCCGAACTGCACACAGTGCTTGAAGGCTGGGTGTAACAGATGTATACAGGTGTTTTGATTTATTATCTATTCCTTTCGTAATGGTTCCTAACATTATCAGTTTGGACTGCTGGTGCACATTGAGCAGATGTTTTTGGAGAACTATGCACAGTAACTCCAACATCTCTTTCTTGAGTGATAACAGCTAATTTAGACTCCAGCATTGTGTAGGGATTGTTAGGGGTTATGTTTTCCAATATGCATGTCTTTGCATTTGGCAATGATAATTTAATGGGTCCTTCTGTTACGCAGTCTCCCAGTTTTGCGAGACACCAGACCACACTGTCCTCCCACAGCTGAGACTCAAGCCCAGAAGCTCTGGCAGCCACTGCACGGCCCCTGCTCTCTCCACTTCAGTCCTCTGAGCCCCACAGGGTCCTGCAGAAAGCTGTTTGGAATGATCCAAATGCAGCCCAGCCGACAGACCCATGCAATGCTGAGGCCAGTTGGTTTGTTTGCCTTTGGGACGTGGCCCTAGTGGCCAGTGCTCCGGCCTGGCACCCAGTAACCTCCAGGCATCTCCCAGTACACTAGTGGTCAGTCTCCACCAACCCGCTCAAGGTACAAGTACTTCCAGAACCACAGCTCTAGCACTGGCAGCAGGACAGTGCCACCACAACTTCACCCCGGCTCCCAGAGTGCCTTCTTGGGGGCTGAGCAGCAGCATCCCCCCTCCCAAGCTGGCTATTCCCCCAGCACAAAGTCATGAGGGCAGAGGAGGAGAGTGGTATCAGCACAGACATCATTTGCTAGAGGATTGATCCATTTATTCTTTAAATAACATTTGAATGCCTCTGATCTACCCACCAGCAACAGGCCAGGCCATCTGTGCTTCCCTAGCACCACACCTGAGGCCCCTCCCCACCGTCCCTGTCACAGGAGTCAGAGCAGCCAGCAAACCGCACCTTGCCAGGGGCTCAGCACAGAGACCCAGCCACACAAGGAACTTGCAGCAGTGTCGAGTTGCAATACCATCAGCGGCCACAAGGTGGCAGCATAGACCAGATTTTCAGAGATGATTCTTTTAAAAGGCTCCCCAGTTGAAAAATAATTTCCCTCCAGTTCTTCTCTCAACCCCCGCCCTCCTGGCACACACTTCTACCCTCAGTCCTGAGCCTCTGCTCCTTCCGCTCGTCCAGTGCTAGGCCTCTCCGGAGCAGACCCAGGAGATCACATCAAAATGAAGACAGCTCTCCCGAGCCACCCCTGAGCCATTGCCACTAGATTTTGACTGAGGCCAGTACATTCAACACATCTTTGACCTCAGCAGGGAGGGAATAAATGCTAAAATGCGGGAGTAAGAAAGAAAAAGAGCAAATGACCTGGAGCAGCCCAGAGGAGCCACAGAGACTACGCCGAGGCTCCCAAAGAGCTTGCTAAGAAGTTCTGCAGCTTTTCCTGGCAAAACTCCACTGCAGCAGCCCTTCCAAGAACTGGGGAGGAAGGAGCAGGCTCTCCAGCACATCCTGGGTGATTGCGCCATCCAGGACTTGCCCCCATGCAAGAAACAGCCAGGTCGAAGCAGCGAGCTGAGAACACTGCCAGCTTAAATGGGGTCCTGGGCACCCACGGCTCCCCAGTGCTACACTCCCTATGTATACACCTGCCACAGAGCAGCAGCCGCGTTGGGGGTGGGGTGAGGGAAACATAGCCCCAAGAGGGGAACTGACTAATCATCAAGGAGGACCCTTGGCCCCTCTCCAGTCTCTTTCACGGGAGCATCTCCAGGCCCTTTACTGAGCTTGGGAGCAAGTTTTCTACATGCGCATGAGCACTGCTCTGTGTGTTTTACCTTTCAGGGGGGAAACTGAGGTGCAGGGCAAGGCACTTTGCCTCAGGTGACACAGCCACTCAGTAGCAGAACTAAGAATAAAACCCCCGTTTTCCCCGCCCCTCCTGCTGGGAGTCCAGCTACGACTGCAGTGGGGAGTGCAGGTTAGCAGGCTGGAACTGACCCATCATGGGAGCAGCATTAGCTACACTGGGTTCTCGCAGGAAGAGCGACAGGGAATGGGATTTCCTTGGGAACAGGCTAACGGGCCCCGTACTAGGTTCTGTATCTCCCCATCCAACTACATCCCTCCAGACAATGGCTCCTGCTTATCTTCATGTCAGATCTGACCCAGCTTCCCCCTGGTTGGAGAGGGGCTGGTAGGGGTAGGGATCAGTTCTGCCCCTGAGGTGCTGAAGGTTTCAAGCGGCAAGAAGTCAGAGTGCGCAGCCCCTTGCGGTTGCTGGGGAAACCACGAGGCCCAGAACTTGGGCATAAAAATCAAGTGTTTATGTCTCCCTGGGAAGGGTGATGGGAGCCCCCACAACTGCTCCAGCAGTGTTGAGAGGCGTAGGGAAGCAGCACCCCCCCACTGCAGAGTCTGGGATGAGGAAACCCCCTCCCAGCTACTCCTCCATACAATCTGAGACTGGAGCCCCCCGCTGGTTGCTCCCATTGCAGGTGCGGGAGAGAGCAGCAGCAGTCCGGAAGCACCATCAGAGGGTCTCGTGCAGAGCTCAGGGGGCCAGCTTCCTCCAGTTGCCACCTGCTCAGGGCAAGGGTGTTCGGGCAGAGCGCTGGGGACCATGCACACTGCTACGGGGGGAAAAGATCTCCTGCGCTGGCTCCGCTCCTGCCAGCTGTAGTGCCATGGCTGGGTGGGGGCGGCCCCCGCAGTCGGTCAGAGTCTGGGCGCTCAGTCGGCGCACACTACCGGCTTCCCCGAGATCTTCAGGTCATCGAAAGGCAGGAGGGCGAGGAGCTGCCAAGGCAAAGGGCCCAGAGATCAGGTTAGTGCCAGGGAGAGCACATTACTCCCTGCTGGAGCGGGGGCCAACAATGCCCAGCCAGCCCCAGGAGGGGCACCGTGAGTAGTGGGTTAGTACTGACAAGGGATCCCAGGCTATCGCCGTGTCATTGAGTGGGGTGGGGAAAACAGGGCAACTGCATGCTCCTCCCACCCCCCTTGCCCTGAGCCCTACGGCACCCCCTGCTGCACCAGCAGAGGCACTGACTCCAGCACTCCCGTCCCAGGGCCACAGCGAGCTCCCGGGATGCCCCTCCCCACGTTTCCCTGCAGGGGAGAGCAGGGACAGACTCACATCATCGTTGCCGTCGGCCAAGTCCTGGGCAGTCTCATCTTCCATGTTCCTCAGCAGGGTGTCAGCCCCCGAGTGGTACAATATGGCAG